CCACTTTTCTCAATCTCAACCTGTGCAACATATAGTGAGAAAGCTAAGTTTATTAATTGATTATAAGAAAAAATGACAATATTGAAAATAATGTACTTACACATTTGTCAGCAAGTTCTTGAACACGTTCATCAATAATATTTCCTTCTTTATTGGTCTAAGTTTCTATGAAGAGTTTATGATGTGAAATAAAACTTGCTCTTGAACTCTCTCGCTCAATAACATTAATATTGCACATATCAATAAAATAAACAAAAAATATATAGCCTAAATATTAACATACCATTTGTTGCTCAATTCTTGCATATGCTATGCGCCCTTTCTTGTAAGGGTATATATCTTTCTCATACAACTATTTCTTTTTTATTGCTCAATTCTTATGCAAAACACATAGAATCATATCAATATATATATATATATATATTGATAATAAAAAAAATTATAGTTCTTACTTGGAATTGCCCCTTAAAACATTTAACAACAAATTCATCCCATTGTTTTTGTGAAACTAATGGCCTTATTAATTTGGAAACTTCAGCAATAATGTTTTTGGCCAATTTTTTAATGTATTTTGCTCCAACAAAGTATTGAAATATCCACATTACCTTTTCAGCTTGTTGAATGACAAATTTCATTCGATTAGCATCAATTGCAAATGCTGACTGTAAAATAAGGAAATTAATTAACTTTTTTTATCAAGTAATTATAATTAATTATAATAATTACGAGTAAAGTATTTTACCTCTATTTGTTTCCAAATATAATTCTTTGTTATTGGACTAATATCGTTCCAACTCTTAATTGTAATAGGCACATTTGCCTTTGTCACAACTCTTTTATAGCTAATAAATTTATTATTGTTAGTTTTGATAGGTTGACCTTTGTAATTCCATTCAATCTTATATTTTTGTCCAATAACCCTTCTCCTATTCATCTCGCTCATCAATGTCAATCCTATCATTTTTTTGATTTGCTTCTTGATAAATTTGTTGGTCATTCATGTCAATGCTAGGATCATTGCTAGGTCCACTGGGATCAATACTTTTTTGAGAAGCCATTTACCTATAAAAATAGAAAAAACAAACATGGAGAAGAAATGAATGATAAAATGGTTAAAAAAAAAGTAATTGACTACTCTACATATAAAAAAATTCAGTAGCATAATATCATAAAAACGAGTATTCCTTAGGCTCAAAATCTCTTTTTAAAGCTAACATCTTATATCAATAAACCAAATTCAATCATACACAATCTCAACAGCAACAAAATCCAACAAAATGACTTTTCAACCATACGCAATTCTAAAAAAATTCATTGAAAATTGAAGAAAAAAGAAAAATACCAAAAACATCAATTTCAATCATTTTTTTTGTCTCATTTATCATTTCAATGTTATTCATACCTTAAAATAAGAATTTCAAGTCAAAAAATATCATTCATTATAGCAAATGTCAAAATCTCAACAAAATAGTTATAATTTTTAGAGAAACCGTGTATCAATTTTGATCACTCAAATCAACTCTAATTGTAATGAAATTTGGCACACTAGTACATTTCAATATGTAGTTTTCAATGGCAAAACAATCCAAATCAAATAAGGCATATAATTTAAATTAAGAATTATTTAAAAAATTTGTTCAAACTTTATAAAAAATACATTCATCATGAATATCCATTTTGATCACTCATTTTCATCCTCATAATTTTTCTAAGGCTACCCATAGCTTCCATTAGTATCCTCAAGTCAAGAACACATCATATATTATCAATTTTTGACAACACACATTATCAAAATCAAGCAACAATATGCACAGAAAGTTAACTACATAAATTCAATCAATAAAACTCTACAAGATAATGAATAAATCATTCTCTACAAAATAACATCCTTACTGTCATTTATTGTGAATTAAGTTTGCCATCGCGTTTCAACCCAATTTCTTCCAACATGCATAACGACGGTAGAATCATGATAAAGGTAGGGGATGACGATCAACTATGAAAATGAAGTCACTTTATTGGTTTACTTATTATTTTGTATTAAAGTGGAAAAGAGAAGAGAGAAGAGTTCATCGAGCACGCGAGAAAAAATATGAAATGAAAATACACTAAATAGATTTTAAATAAGAATAAATGACAGGCTTTTAAATGCCCGTCATTTATTCCACTTTATATGATGGGTGTTTCAAATACCCATTATATAAAGTTACATTTTTTTTCTTTTTTCCAAATTGTAGAAACTTAAACATTATATGACAAGTGTTGAAACAACATCATTATTATAAATGATGAGTGTTTAAAACACCCATCATTTATGTTGATATTAATTTTTAATTTTCTTTAAAAGCAGAATTTGAAGCATTATATGAGGGGTGTTTAAACACCCATCATATTTGTTACTGAAATAAATAACGGATGTTTAAAACACCATCATTTACAGTGCAATCATCACTTGCCTCTCTTTTAAATGATGAATTTTCTTAAAACCATCATTTTTAGTGGTATCTTATATCAATAATTTTGTAATAGTAAATGATAGATAGGTCCTAAGGGGATCAAATAATTCAAATTAAGTCCCAAAGTGCTAAGCTCTAGAAATTTATAAGTTTGACTTTCAATTTTGCAATTTCATTATGATAAAGTTGTAATATGTTTTTCAAATTTTAACATGATTGAAAAATAAACAAATTTATTTTTCTTGTTAAAATTTAAAATACAAGTTACAAATTCATTACAACGAATTTGCAAAATTACGAGCCAAGCTTGTAAATTCTAGAAATTTGATACTTTGGGACTTACATTGAATTAATAGATCCCTTAGAACCTATGTGTCATTCTCCTATACAAAATCCTGATGCATTGCGTGTACAGACTTTGAAGGGTTATATTATTCCAAATTGATCACTTTATGGAGTTGCTCTAAAATGCTACAACATAGTTGCCCAATCCCATCACCTACAAAGGTAATTCCAGGTCACAGCACCTATATGCAATTGCTTGTGCCATGCATGAACAAGAAAAAGGTTCTCAGCTTCCTTACCTTGCTTCCAAGAGCAACTTGTATCAGCACTTTTATGATTCATGAGCCCTCCTATCATGGCTCAATCTCTTTTATTGATTATCCTCTCTATATATATGGAATTTCATAAAGGCCCAATGGTATTATAGAAATTGTCATGCATGATTATTGGCTATTTCATATGACGTACTGTTGGTTCACTTTTGAATTTCACTCCAATTACCATTATTTCTAAAGATGCACATATCAAGGTAGTCTTGCACTTGCATGAGGCAAGCATCAAACTAGTTGTCCAACAAGAAAGGCTTACAAGCATAGTTACAACATATTCCACTAATTTCAATAGAAGTTTACTTGCTGGCATGTTTAAATTCAAGTTACATGTGCTTTACATATTAATGATGATGATAGCAGCCTATATTTCTTTTTCACAAATTGGATGGCCACTACAATCAGTAAAAACACATGAAGAATGGCTTGCTTTTGGGATTTTTATCGAGTTTCGGCTTGGGAATCTTATTTTAGTCATTGTAGAGCCAAAATTAATATGACACTTTCTACTTCCAAAAAGAGGTTCAATAAATGGGATGGTACATCACAGGGTTCTTGGGCATCTCTTTTGTTTATTCGTGCACTCTTGTTGGCTTTTCTTGGGACTACTTAATTTTGGAATATTGGAATGGTATTGATCTTTCTTTTTGTACAATCTTGAGTGATTTTTAGGTTATTTATTCAAGCTTGGACCTCAAAGATAAGGTCTATTTTATTAGGGCAGGTTATGTCAAAAATGGGCCTAATAAGCCCAAAGTTTCATTAAAAGGGCTTAAGTGAGTGGAAATTAGGGAATGTAATCTACTTATATTGTAAAATGCATCAATCTTACTGTAGAACAACATTATCAAAATTATATTTAAAGAAAACTCTATCATCAAAATTTCATAGAGTAAAAACATGTACTACTTACCTTTGATATTATCCAAGTAGGATTAATAAAGACAATTTTAACTATTTTCATAGCCTAAGGCCCTATTCTAAGATTTGAAGCAAAATTTAGTCGCTTACATTAATTGAAATGAAAGATGATCTCTAGAAGCTGTTCTAGCAGCAAGAGTGCAATCTTTAAAAAAATATTACCTCAATCTTAACTACTTCATGTGAGTGTTATGTAATTGTAATTCTGGAATAAATGTTAGATGGTTAGTTAGAGTTAGTAAAGGGCTGTTTCTGTTACCGTTTGGGATAGGTGAGCAGTAAAAGCCTACATATAGCGCTTATCCAAATTACAGTAATGCAATGTATAGTTCAACTATCCTTCTTATCTCCTTCTCCCTTTCTCTCTCTCAACCTTCCAAGTCTCTTTAGGGCCCCAAAAAAAAAAAAAAAGGTTCCAAGTCTCTCTTTTCCTTTGCTATTCTCTCTTTCTCTTTATTTCTAACTTTAATCAAGAATGATTGTAATTCCAAAGAACTTTTCTAACATCAAAATTTAACTTTTTTATTTATTTGTGCGTGATATTCATGCACAATAATAGATAAAATTTTGATCATATTTTTTAGTAATAATTTACTTATAAACCTTTTTTCTAGAAATATTGAGTGTTTTAAATTTTTATTAAAATAAAATTTAATGAATATTATTAAAATATTAAATATTTTAAAATATTAAATAATTTTATTATTTATAAATATTCATCCAAAATTATAAATTAAATTTTAAAAGGTTAAGATACACATTTGTTCTCAAAACGTTCACGTAGGTGCGTTTTATATCCTGAATATATATATATATATATATATATATTTTTGACACAATTTTACTTAATATTTTTCAATTTGTTACAATTTTACCTTGCCATCAATTTTTGGCCATGTTAACTGTTAATTTGACATTGACTTGTTTTGTTGACAGCCACCTCATCATTTTAAACATTAAAAACAAACAATATATCCACGTCAATTTTCTCCTCCCCTTACACGTCAGATTTGTACCCTTCCCCATCCTCGTCCCCTTCATCTGGGCTTGCCCCCTTTCCGTGCATCTCCTTCGCTGTTCTTCCAGGTCATGCAAAATCCAAATCTCAAGAGGAACCAAAAATAAAACCCAAATCTCAAGTCGAGGTCGCCTCGATCGTTTTCCGCGAAATCCCAACAGCCAAATCCATGTCTTCTTTATTCCGATGGGTAGCGATGGGTAACCTAGAAGAGGGGACGAGCTAGTGCGGCCATCGGGGATGAGGGAAGGGACGAAGCTCTGGCATGAACGGAGTGGGTTTAACGGTGAGAAGTGGCTACTGTAAAGCAAAACCCATAAGAAGTGGGTTTGACGGCGAGAACCCAGACGCGTGTTTTCACTGAGAGAGGTTGATTTCAAAGGTATGGTTGAGTCAAGATTCATCGATTTGAAGCTTGATTTTTCTTCAGAATATCTGCCGTGGTCTGGTTCGACGATTTGGGACTATGGAGATTTATTCTTCGCCGTGTTCGAATCTCTGCCCCCTCATCTGGAGAAAAACTTCTTTTTTTCAACCCGGAATCTGAAAAAGAATTTCAGAGAAGTTGATTTCTGCTGATTTTTTAAAGTTCTTTTTTAATATTGTTTGGCTGAATGTTTGTTTTAATTTGAGTTGAAATCCTCATCTGGTTGAAGGCGAGAACCCATATGCGTGTGTTGGTTGCAAGAACAATTTTGCATTCACTTTGTTGCAAGTCATGTGTTGCGATTCTGCAAGCATTACTCTAATTCTTGTTCAAGTTTCTGACTTTCGTTTTATGTCCTAATGTTCAAGTTTGATGTTCTTGTTCAAGTCTAATTTGTTGTTTGATTTACTTTATCTCTGGTTTTCGTTTTTGTTCAAGTTTGATGTTTGAGTTTGATTTTCGTTTTCAATGGCAGAACGTCGATGAGGAAGACTATCCCATGTGGCCGCCAGCTATAGGTACTGAAAATTTACTTTCAATATCATCTTAGTCCGACCAAATCATAAAACTGATACATAAAGTCCATCACACGTACTAAAAAGAATAACTTTGTATTAATGAATATGAACTATGCATCATTCAGATTGTCAAAGAAAGAAGACAATCTAGTGGGAATTGGATTTTGATGTCTAATGCAAGCAGGAATGGGAAGATATTGTAATGGACAAAACAAATGAAAGAATTAGTCCAGCTCTCCTAGATATAAGATATAAAGAACTAATAACAAAATGTACACAATACTAGATGAAGACCAAGGTATGCTGGCACGGAATTCACAATAGTGAATCTTGAGGCACTTGAATAATTGATATTATAGAATCGACTTCAAAACCATAGAGAACCCCTTGAAAATTTTCAAGCCCAGAATTTCCTCTAAAATAAAGATCCTTCAACTTCATAAATGTTTGTAGAGTTAGCAGGCTATCAGACCCAGCTTGGTGATGCTTCCCAACTACACGATCCACATTCAATGTCTTAGCCACTCTTTCTAGGCCACCATATAAGCCATTGCAGAACTTAATTATATGCTTCATGTCATAAATTTTGGGTCCAAATAACTGAGCCACCAAGTGTCTAAACAAGTGAATGTTAGGAGGCAATTGTTCCCTGACTAGAAGCTTGATTAGGAACCCAAAATCATAAGAACTGTGGAATGTGACCCATGTGAGATGAGAATTGAACAACAATCCAGATTTTAAAAGAAAAGTCCGGAAAATCCGTGACGGAATACCCTCTTTCTTGTTTTTCAAGAAATCAATCCCTTGTTTCTCCAATAGTTGAATGGACTTGGCATTATGTTGATCCCGCTCAACGTCGAAATCACTGAAATTGAATTGCCAAACATGTCCATTTTGTGTTCCAAAGTGAGGTAGATTCCCATTAGAATCAGTTAGGGTAAGACCTAGTTGGATGATGTTCAAAACGTCGACATTGGCCTTCACGAAACTATAAGTATCTGAAGGAGACAGCTTTGAGTGAAAGGCCTGATCAACATTCGGAGTAAAAATGGTGCCAGGAAACTCAGTGTCAAAGGAGGCAAAAGAGCAGCTAGGTATAACAGCATGGATCAAAGACAACTCGCTATGTATATTCGAAGTCCAGACTTCACGAACAATCACGTTCGTTCCCTTGGGAGTCATGGTTGCTTCAGCTTTTTCTTTTAGAAAATTGTAGGGAGAATGCAAGTCTTCTCAATTCTGTGACAATGGACAAAACATAGAAGAATCACGTTAGAATAAGCTAAAAGTTAGTTGAGACTAAGAACCAAATAGAATATTTAGTCAAACAACACAAAAAGGAAGATGGCTCATGTTGGATACAAGATTTAGCATCCATATGGTTTCACATTGGTTTTGGTGGTTTCTAATGTGAAACCAAACATGCTCTTAATGTGTTGCATGACCAAAAGAAAATTTTAATAAAATAGTGTGGCTACTAAAATTGATTTTAAACTAGGAGCTAGCAGCAAAGACTGCAAAAAATATAGAAGCATTGATCATGTTGATATGCAGCTTGTTAAGTAGGAAGCGAGATTGTGAGTTGTGGCTCATAATGATGCATAATTAAACCACAGAATAACAAACAGTTAAATGATATTTTCTTATTAAGAATTTACTGTAAACGTAACTTTAGAGTCACTATCTCTTTTTCACACATCAAAATCCGATTGTTTGCATTAGACATTGAAGAGACAAATTAAATAACTGGGATCAATGGCATTGCAGCCCCGATACGCCTTAGAAACAGAACAAAATTTAAAACATTCGTATTGCTTGTTAAACTGTAAGTTTTTTTTCAGTCCAAGTTATCTGACACTAAGGAGCAACATTCCTTGAATAATAATCACCCATAAAATGGAAAGCCAGAACAGCAAGGTATGCCTATACTACTTATATTCCTGTCACGGAGAAAATGGATAAATTAGGCAGTTATAAATATTATGTGTTGATAGCTGAGTGACCTAACACAGTAAAAATCTTATCTTTTGTTACGTTTACATAAATTTTCTTTCAAATACACACTAACATGTTGGGTTAGCCAAAACCAATAGACCCCCACCTCTAATTAGGGTTGGCCGAACCAAAACTGAGCTGAGTGAGTAATCCGCCGTCAGCCAAACAAACGGCAGGGACCGAGAACGGAAGGCCAAGAACGAACCACGACAGACAGCAACGGTTAGCCTTTTTGACTTATCGATGAAGGAGAGCGTTTCTGATGAAATTGGCGCGTGGCCGCGTGCGGTATGCTGATGAGATAGCGCTGATCAGAATTTTGACGATTTGACTCTCCAGTCCTGTCGCAGTAAATAAATAGATAGATAAATTTTGGGAGATATTTATTTAAAAATAAACATATCATTATTCTTTTCTTGATATATGTATGTGTGTATATATTAATTGATATCTTTTTTTTTTGCCGACCTATTAATTGATATCTCTAAACATCTTCTGAAAAGTAATATTAATTGAAGTCTATTTGAGTAATTTTTTTTTAATAGCATGAGGAATAAACTCCACTGATAGCAGATATTATCTCTTTTGAGATATAAAAGGCGATAGTGGACCTTTTTCAATTAAATTATTATATCTATAAAGGTTAACATTTGAACTCAATCACTTTTTTAAGTGATAAAAGTCCTTAAATAATTCTTCAAACAATTGATTAATATAGTTTAACTATTTATATTCAAATTCTCTGATTTCAAAATATATTTATTTTCAAACTTTAATTGACGCCATCTAATCATTTTCATTATGATATTTAGCTAATAATTTGTGAGAAAACTTTTAACAAATTTGTACTTTCTCTGCTGGAAAACATAATCGTACCAATGGCTCCTAATTATTCCAAAATATAGCTTACATTAAATTATTGAAACAATAAGTTAGATCTTATTTATTTTAAATTTCATCATTCCATTGGTATGTCCATTAATCTATCAATCTATGATATCTATCCAATTTCCGAAGGTAGAGAAAACTAGAGCTAACTCAACATCAAGCACTCACATAATAAATCCATCAATTTGTGGATTTAGTAAATATTATATGATTTCTTTCTTGATAAACATTATATCAGAAATAATGAGTTTGAATATTTTTCAAATGCCAAATATTTAAATAAATATGATAGGAAAATGACAGAAAAATCCTATGAAATATTTAAATGATAATGAGGTCCACAGAAATATTATAATTTTTTTCAATACCCTAGGGGCAATTTTATATTAATGATTTTTTGTCAAATAATTTAATAAATAATAGATTTAATTCACCACACAGGTTTCACATGGAAATATGTAAGAATGAATAAGTAAAGCTAAGGAATTAATAAGTATTCTTAAGGCTTAAAACTAATGTTAACTGCAACATATTAAATGTAACAACTAACACAAGAGAATTAACAAACAATGTAGTTAATTTTATAAGTTATAATTATGATTTAACAAGTTACGTATTTAAATCATCATATGAACTTCTAGTGTTATGATTTTATTTCAATTTAGGCCTAACATTTTGCAGTGAAATTTCATAATATTTTTGGGTTTGATTTGAAAATATATCACATCCACAGTCCTTAGATAAAATTTTCCCAAGCATTTATTTGAATCTTAAAAATTTGATTTAGTTATTAAAAAATAAAGGATAGATTAAGAGATTCCTTGGTATGGGGAAAGTTAAGGACAGGAAAGTAAAAATTAGCAAGCACTAACTAATTCACTTCTATTCTATTAAATAAATTTATAAATTAAGTAACTAGAAAAATAACTTCTTCAGTAAAATTTTGAAAAATCACACTTTTTGAATTATATTCTCTTTTGATAAGATAGAAGAAAAGTACATTCTCTATTAAAAAATATAAAGTATTTTTGAAGAGTTGGATGTTAAAAAATGTATGATATTTTTAATCTTTTGAGGTGTAATTATTGCATTTTTTTAAAAAGTGCTCCTATTGATAAATAATTTTATATTTATTATAAGTGTTTAATAGGAGTAAATATGAAAAGATAAGATTAATTTGAAAGTATGTAACTATTTTATTAGGAGATGAGATTCGATTAAAAATACCTTATACTTTTTAACGGAGGGAGTATATTCTAAATAAGGGTATCTAACTCATATCGACATTAAAACTATTAGTATATTTATTTGAAAAATTAATGTCAACTCTTCCAACAAAAAAAAAAACAAACATTAAACAATCAGCGAGTTCTTCCTGAACATTTTTTAAGAAAAGTTAATTTTCTTTTTCAAATAAAAAGAGGAAATAAAACAAATAAAAGGACTTAAATCAAAGCATACTAGTGCCGATCAATAACACGTAACCTTAAGATGGGCACAGACCTTCTTAATTGGTGCCTATTTGGCCATTTGGATTGGCATTGAATAATTGAGATTTTAAATAATTATGATTTTTTAAAATTAAATTTAATTTCAAGTGATTATAATTAATCAATATTTCTGTTTGGAAACTTTTTCTAACAATGATATTGAAAAAATTGGACCTGCTTGGATGTCATTTATCAAAATTACTAACTTTTATAAAGTTCCAAAAAAATATTTATTATTTAATTTAATAATTATTAAATATGAATTAATGAATGAGGTAATATTAGAATAATTTTTTAGATTTTAGTATGAAAAAATCATTATTTTTAAGTAGAGTAAATATTTTTAATATAAGACATCTTATTTTAAATAAAAGATATACCAATATGAATGATATAATTAAAATGTATTATCAACATTAATAATATGACAAATTAGATTGAAACTAAGAATTTGATAATTTAATATTCCCTCCATTTAATATTATAAAGCATTTTTTCTAAGAATCATTTTAAAAAATATATAAGATATTTTAGGTTTTTCAAAGTGCAATCAATAATGTTTTTCCCCTTCAAAGATACTGTTATTTAAGGGATGTAATTAATAATATTTTTTAATTGAGATATCCTATTGGTTAAGAGTAGATAGACATAAAAAAAGTGTACAATTTTAAAGATATCTACGTAACTAACCCATCGAAATATAATTTGATTAAAAAAATTTATAATATTGATAAGAGAGATTAATTGTAACCTGCTTCCTCATTATTCTCTAATTATCTCTTAATCTCAATTAATTAAGAGATTATTTTAAGGTAAAGACACATTCACCAAGTTCACAAATAAGTTATGTAGATGAGATCTCAAGTTTTTAAAGTTAAAATCATATTAAAAGGTTTTGCAACTGATAAATCAGAGTACAAACATTATGCGGAAGTAAGGGATCATTTTAAAAGTTAGTGCATTTGTTTAGGAATTAGAAAACAACGAGACTATGCCAAATTTGAGGGTATGCACTGCAGCTTGTTCTTTGCCTAGTTTGCTTCTATGCACTATACCGTAAATTCTTTAGACTATTATAAAAAAAATTAATTTAAATGTGTGTTTTGCTATTGTGTAGGTTGTTTGGTGTTTTAAATAGTTTGTTTCCTAAGTTGGTTTTAGGATCAACTCCTTAACCACACTTAGTTTATTTGAATTGTATGATTTTTGGATAACACTCGAGGCAAGTGTTACATTTGGTATCATTTTTAAGTTTATGATTCCCCTTTCCTAGTTGGTACCCTAAATACATTACTCTTATGCTCTTTCCCTTATGTCACTAACCTAAACGATATTATTTTTTCATTTTCTGGCTTGTTCCTTTAGGAGGGGAGAAAGGTTCGTACACGTATGACTGTACATCTTTCAATTATAATTTAGCTCGAAGAGGAAGAGGTAGACCGAGGAATGAGGAACGACCTCTACCTCCACTTTGTCTGCCTCTACCACCACCACAAGGGACAGATGTAATCATGGGTAGGTTGCTTGAAGTGATGGTAGATATACAACAAAACTTCAAAGGTCGTGCCGTTCCAGATCAGTATGTTGACCCAAGTGCTGGGTAGGGAGCTTTTAGTATTGTGGGAGCTCATAGACCGGTTGCTGATAATCGAGAGGATGACATATCCAGACCTTAGAAGGAATTCTCTCACTCTAATCTAACCACATATGATAGTAGTATGCTTGATGGGAAAGCTGAGGAGTGGTTGGATCGAATAGAGCAGTTATTTACTGTAATGAGGTATACAACTAAGCAGAGGGTTATCTTGGCTATGATGTAGCTTGTTGGTGGAGCTAAGCATTGGTGGGATTCTGTTAAGTCTATGGATGGAAGATCTATGACTTGGGCCAAATTTAAGGAAAGATTTTATAATTTTTACTTTCCACCAGCTTTCAGAGACAAGAAACAGGTAGAGTTTCATGCGTTTTAGCAGGGGGACTTAAATGAGGAGACTTTTATGAGAAAATTCAATTAGCTATCTAAGTTCACAACATATCTGAAGGCTTCTAATAATAGCAAGTGAAAAGCAAAGAGGTTATTGGAAAATATGAGGCCAGAGTACCACCAACAGCTGTCTTTGTTAGGTGAGGTGACATATGATGAGATGTGTAATTGTTTAAGGATTACCGCTCGCCGTGGCCAAGACACAAAGAGTAGCTAAAGTAGGGCTACACGAGGTCATTTTTCTTTTGGGTTGGCTCTTACTGGTGGTGTATCCAAGAGAATGGGTTTTAGTTATAGTTCTTCTTCTAGTGGCTCCTTTAGAGCCTAGCCTTCTTTGCTTCTGGTAATCAAAATTTAAATAAGGGTTCAAGATTTCAAGGTAATCAAGGTGATAATATGAGATTTGGGGGTTCTCATTTCTCTGGGATTGTCCAACATGTTCTTCATAGGCTAGTTAGGCCCTGATTTTGAGCATAGTGAGGTCACATTGCGATAGATGTGACAAGGTTCATTATAGTCGCTGCTTTACTTGCTTCAAGTATGGAAAGTTAGGCCATTTGATCTATGACTGCCTTAATTTACATGAGAGCTTAGATCGGAGGAATGTGATTCTCGGTAGAGTATATACAGTATCTCAGGAGGAGGCTAGGAAGTTATCAAATCTGATAACTGGTATGGTTTCTATCTGTGGCCTTAATTTAGAAGCTTTGTTTGATTGTGGTATGACACATTCTTTTATTTCTATCGATCACTTGGATAGAATGGGCATGCTTATTAAGCAATTACCTTATGATATAGATGTTTCCTTTACTTCTAGTTTAATCGGTTGATCTAGTGTGTTGTGTAGGACTAAGATGAATTTTAATGGGCAATCGACTTGGGTGAATGTGATCAAATTACCTATGTAAGTGATTGATTTAATCATCAGTATGGATTAGCTGATAGCTTATGGTGTTGTCTTAGATTCTGTGGCTAAGACTGTGACTTTAACAGAAATGCCAAAGGTAATGACGAATACCCTAGTCATTCTTGTTTTCTTTCTTCTTTGCAAGCTGAAAGGTTGATTGAGCAGGGTTGTGAGGCTTATGTGGTAGTGCTCACTACCCAAGGGTCTAAGGCAAGTTAAGTGGATGAAATTGAGGTTGTTAGTAGTTCTTGGAGGTGTTTTCAGAGGATGTGT